CCGTCAGACACAGTCAAGGAATTAATACCTGACTTTGCGGACAAAATCATTGATCTGATTCTTAAAGATCACAGATTAGGCAAAATTCCGTTTTAGTCAGCCTTGACTTAATGTCAGCCTTGACTTAACCAAGGTAGACTTTACTAAGCTCAAATGCCCTTCAAGAAACTATATTTCTTGGAGACACGAAGCTGTAGTTAAAAAACAAGTTGGGAAATGGTTATCTGATGGGGTAATCGAAATCAATTACCAACAAACGCCAGCTAACTTAGCATTATTGGCAGTTAATCAACACAACTCTGACGGAACATGTAAGAAAGTCAGAGTATGTCTAGATATGAGTCCAATAAATAAGTTATTGCCGACTCATAGTTTCCATCTCCCTCGTATAAACGAGTTACTGAGACGAATGGAAGGTGCTACGGTGTTTACATCCATAGACCTAACACAGGGGTATCATCAAATGTAAATTTATGAACCCCATCGTAAGTACTTTAGTTTTACCTGGAAAGGTAAACAATGCAGGTTCTGAGGTGCACCTTTCGGGTTGCACTCCTTACCAGCATTCTTCCAACAAGTAATGGATGAAATTTTTGCAGACATGCCTAACGTGCAAGTCTATATAGATGACATAGTCATCCTTTCTAAGACTAAGAGCGAACATACCGCATTTATCAGGCGAGTCCTTCAGAGACTCAACGAACAAAACTTCAAGATTAACGAGAAGAAATGTCACTTCGCCCTGAGCGAAATACAGCTCTTAGGCTACCGTATATCTGGGGAAGGTATTAAAATCGACCCCTGTAAGGTGGAACACCTGTTAGATTGGCGAACACCAACTACAGAAAGAGATGTGAACAGCATGTGTGGGTTTGTAAACTTCTTTTCAGATGGAGTACCACATTTTGGCTGATTATCTTAAAGCCTTTGAATACTTAAGATGTCATAAAGGCAAACTAGGAGGCTTGTGGACTAAAGGGTGTGATGACGCATTTAAAGCGCTCAAGCACGCAGTCCAACAAGCCTCTGTTGTACAAGGACCAGACGATGGCGTGCCTTTTGAAATAGCAACGGACGCATCAGACTTAGCACTCGGAGGTGTACTATACCAGGTTATAGATAATAAACCTAGGTATATACAATTTTTTAGCCAAGCAATGAATGCATCACAGTTGAATTATCCAACTGTGAAGCAAGAGCTATTAGCCATAGTAGCAGCTTTAACACACTTCCGCGATTATTTATACGGGACAGCTTTTACGCTGATGTGTGATCAGAAGTCCCTTCAATATATGAAGGAAATGAAGCTAGACTTTCAATTACTGAGCCGATGGCATGATACACTATCAAAGTTTCATTTTGATATCAAACATCTACCAGAGATACATAACCATTTACCGGATATGTTATCACGCTTTGTACAGGACTTTAATAAATCCGTACGCGAGTTACTAGCCACTGATTGGAAATGTAACCCCAGGTGGTTTGAACTGGCTCAAAAGATATTAGGCCACATACAGTTTACATGTTTGCTGCACATCATAATGCACAACTTAAGAATTACAGGACTTTAAATCATCCTTTAGGAGATACCTTTCAACTAGACCTCTCTGAACATAATGCGTGGGCTAATCCACCATGGCAGTTAATTGCCCAATCACTAAATTATGTTCATATACACAAAGCTACCATCACGTTGTGTTGCCCATTACGGAGTAAAGATCCATGGCTCAATACATTAATAAGCATGATACAATGCAAACCAATATATTTAGATAGGGAAGTAGATACTTTCCTATATCAGGGTACCTGAGCCGTCCAGAAGACGCTCTGGCGACATACTATAATATGTCGTATGTGTCCCATTAATTCAACCAAATGGCTCCTTCTGAGACCTTCCTTAACAAGGTCAAAGATAAGAGATTCCACTCTCTACTAAATTGAACGTTAGGCAGTTCAAAACAATCTACTAATGGCACTACAATTAAGAAGCGTCAGTCTCTAGCTAGGACTCTGTTTAATAACATAAAGTCCAAGCCCGAAGTCTTTCAAACCCTATTTTTAAAGGGATTAATGAAAGATAATCCTGAAGCATATACAGATATAAAGCGACTATTAAATAAGTCAGGTGTATCAAACGCACACGAGCGCACTTATGACACTCATGCGAAAGAAGGACAGGAGTATGGAAACACTACAGACTTAGACCACGCAAGTGGATTCTCAACACCCTACCTTTATTCTGGAAGAGCAGAATGATGAAAATATTCTTGCTTGGCTGACGCAAAACCATAAGCTGAAGCACCAGAACGTAGTAGACGCATTTAGAGATGCAAAGCGAAATGGGATCGCGCACCCTAAGCTGGCAACTTTAGTTGACAGAGTATATCAGTCATGTACAGACTGTGATCTCAACCAGATTAAGCGCTATGGGTTCGCACCGCCTAATAGTGTGACTGAAGATGTTCTATGGCGCAGAGTCATCATTGATCTGGTTGACCTGCCTACGTCCGAGCACACAGGCGACCGTTACGTATGCCACCTCTTTGATGTGGCGTCAAGGTATAACTTGCTCTATCCATTAAAAGACACCGTGGCAGAATTATGTTGCCAAGTCTTTGCTGACCACGGGTGGCCAGGTATAATGTGTACTGATAACGGTAGCGAGTTCTGCGATGACGTAATGGAATCGTCAGTACTCGTATCAGGCATGTGCCATAAAAGGGGTGTACCATATAAACCGCAAACACAAGGCTTACAATCTTCTTACGTACTGCATTAACGGATAATGCAGATGATTGGCCGTACCACCTTACGCGGGTACAAACACAGATGAACGAGTGTGCTGATCCGGTTACAGGTACAACACCCGCTCACTATTTTCGAGGCAGATATAGTGAGTTACAAATACCTTTTAACATGGACGAACCTAATCACCATGAGTTACCATGGTTAGAGAAGGTACAACGTATTTATAACGTTGTATATCTTTGCTTGCGAGAAACACGAATATTACCCTATTAAAAAGGCATAATAGATGGAATGCTACCAAAAATATAGCAGAGTATCAGGTTGGAGACAGAGTTAACATTCGTCAACGAAAATTCCGATGCTACTGTATTAACATCCAGATGGATAGGACCATATATAATCTCTGTAGCTGACGTTAAAAGTGGAACCTATGAGGTTGATAAACCCGACGGTTCAAGTGCTTTAAATATAGACACTAGTCGGATTTCGACTACCGAGATTATTATCGCAAGAAGACATGACTTTAATGCCCCTCTTGATCGTCCTGAATTAAAAGACATTATATGGAGAACGGATAAGGGGACTTAACCTACGCGTTAAATAACTCTAAGGCGTTAATATCGCCTTGATAGACCGAATCTTACACTCACACATTTGATATATTTCAATTGATCAATAGACATTTATTCAACAACGGTCAACACTTCCGAGCTCAAAAATCAATCTTTTCGCCACACACCTGACAATAGTTGTGACCACCCTGCGGCTCTCGTCGACTCCCTTGATTTGAAAACTCCTCGGAGCTATACATTGGCGTTGCAGTTAACGATCCTTGTGGACATAGCTGTTACTCCCAACCAGTGTTTTGTAGCCTTTGCTGCCATGCCTACGATTGCTCACGCCTCTGCTATCTATCGCTATTTTAATTATCTATCCAGCACCATCTGTGTGACACCACACCCTTGAATATCATCGGATGTAACAGGCGTTATGCCAGCAACACGCGAATCCTATACTGACATTCTTCTTTGCTACAATGATACACCTGTATCCTGAAAGTCTAGGAAAAAAAAGAGAGTTGCCCTTGGCTCTGGGAAAGCAGAATATACAATATTGCTTGCCTCTGAAGTATTATTGACAGTCGCACTGTGCCAATTACTCGACAGCATACTGTGCTACACAATGGCAATTAATAGGTGCTTAAAATTACGCTCGGAACAGGTACCCCTGGAAGGATTTCTAACACATTCAGATCTGACAGCATTATATACGTAAACACATCTGTGCTGGTATCCCTGTCCAATGTATAAATACTATTGACCACCCTGCTTTAATATTGACCAAAACTCTTCAACACCCTAAGCTGCACACAGGGCTACTCCATATTTCAGTATGTATTGAATACAGTAATATAATAAATTAGCATTTCTTCTGTGTCTCGCAACTATTGGACTCTTTAGCTCTGCTATCAGCGGTATGGTCTATGTACACTTGGTGCTATATTTAAGGTGCATTTCTGTTCCATTTCTTCTAGACCTTGTTGTGTGTACACCACATACATAGTTCTTTCTTTACCAATTTCCGACGGGCCATTTACACTTGATACTTGATATATCCTTTAATATGCAATACACCTTTAGGCGCTCTGGACAACCGCAAGGTGCTCCCTAAGACAAGCAAAACTCTGAATACCAGCGAATCTCTTTGTCTGGCTCACTGGCTGTGGATATACGCCACGGATTACTCAAGATCTACATTAAACTGATCCCCTTCTCGTGAGCACTATACAAATACGGGACATCCACCAAATCTCGCTATGCTCAAATTTCAACAGGCGATGTAGATTTTGTACAAGCAAATTTACGCAGTTCATCCGATATCGTTGGGAATTCCAAGCTGATAACAGTACCCTGCATTGTACAGTATAACGGTACATAAGGACTTCAGCACACTCTGTGGCATTACAATTTGTGTGTTAGCAGTGTACGATTTTAATGCTGTTTTCACTTGTCAAATCGTCTGCTGTTTTTTGAAATCAGCTATTCATACTTGCCGTCACTCTAAAAAAAAGACAGCCCCGAAGCCGCACAATTTATTTACCCAGTCTTGAATAGCGGATTGACATGTCATCAAAAATTCAATGCTAAAAATAGATTCCAGCCAAAAGCTTGGTTCTCGTCGCTGATGAATGGTATTTTGAAAACTAAATAAAGTTGTCATAGTAGTAAATAAAAGCGAGACTTGTGCATCATAAGTGAATGTGCGAACTAAACGTATGCGTATGGCAGGTCTATTCGGATAGTAATATGTGTATTCAGTAAAGTACTCACTTATCGATCACACACGTGACTACGGTTGGTATCCGAAGTATACATATCAGCTACAGAGAATTTGTGTGATACTGCATGTCGTACGATCCTTCCCATGGGCAATGCAGTCACATAGATGTGCTCACTACATATAGTGTTTCTCATACATAATTCCACGCAGCTATGATGCAGTCTGGGTTCAACTACGGTCCGGATGACGAGGATGACGAACAGTCGTCCTTCCTGTCATTCGGCGATGTGGTGTCGTTGTACACAGACACCCTGGATCCCAACGCACACTACAGTACTAGCGGGGGACAGGACTTCAGCTCTACTATATCTCAGAGCATACCCCAAGTGAACCAGAATGCCATGAGCTATGGTGCCCTGGGGAGTAGTATGAATGCCAATGGGAATGTAGGCGTTAGGACTGGGTTTATGAGTAACCTAGGGCTGATTGACAATCGTTGTGTGGTGAGGGCATTCTACGGTAATCCTGATCAGGGTCATTTGCCCAATAAGTTTCGGGATTGCTTGTTTAAGGTATGCTATATTCGGAGGCGATATCTGTTTGACTATAAAAGGATACAAACA